ATTCCGTCGGGTGATGGTTGATCCAGAACTAGAGCACGATCTACGAGATATATCGCGGGTAGACGGAAAATAATTTTTTGGTTTTATGTACATCGACAAAGATTGCACTAAATCATTGGGTTGTAGCTTTGCATTAGTAGCTGCAGCTTTAATGTGAGGATCTGTGATGCCTGTCCAACAGTCGGTCAGCTGTGAATACTATAGCAACAATTAGTTCGTCAGATAGTCCCTTAACTAGACCCAATCTTAACAATGAACGTCTAGCGTATTCAGCGTACGTGGCGTAACTTTTAGAATCTTTGGTCATTAATTCGTAGAGAATAGACGCAATATCGACGGTTTGCGGGCACAACATTTTAAATTCTCGTTTGAAATTCGTCCATGAACGATCGGTGCTAGACCACTCGTTAAGCCACACACGTGCTTCTCCCTTTAAAAAATTACCGGTTCGCGACAGACACTGGTTATCGTCCCATCTGTTAATTTCTTTAGCCCTATCGACCTCTTCGCACCAAACGTCGATATTGTGAAGATGAGGGTCAAAGTTAGAAATATAAAAATTATTAGATCTTACTTTAACCAGCGAAGTGATGGCCTCCACGATTCTGCTAGTTGCGTCCCTGCCTGTGGCAATGCTCTCCTGTGATAACAAAACTGGTACGCAGCCTGCCGTCGAATCGCCGTGATGTACGTCGTTGGTGGCTGCACCAATCATGAGCTCAGGTAGTACCGGATACGGTGCCGACCCCGAAGATGTTGATGCGGCCTGTAAAAGCGACTCGGACGGCGGCGGCGGTGAAGTAAAACGTTCCTCGAGCGTATTCAATCTAGCAAGGATAGCATCCAGCACATCCTTGTTCGACTCATGCTTGTGTTTTACGAGAGCGAGATCTTTGCTCAGACATTTTGAAATTTATAAACCGAAAAATAAACAAAAAGAAAACTACGAAATCGTTAAAATCTAATTACAACACTAATCTTAATTTTTGTGTTAGTCAGGTGTTCCGAAAGCGGGTAGGCAACGAAGCACTATCCCACTTCTGATATTACCGATTAGAGGTAAAATTCTTAATAAAAATGCACTCAAAACAAAACTTGTAATATAAATCTTTTATAACACTTTTACAATATTAATCAGCAATTAATGATTTATGGTAATATCTAGTTCCTAGCACAACCGCTCTCTCCGAACGTTCGAGCCAAAGTGACCCTGCCACCTGCTACGGCGACTGGCTTCTGGGCGCAAAACCCCACCACCTCGGTGACGCAATCATTAGCCACGCCCCCTGTCTAGTCATCCTCGCGTAAAAATATATATACGAACATAAATAGTACAAATATATAAACATAGTAAAAGTAATTAAGTACAAATAAATTAACTGATTAATTATACTGGCAGAAAAAAGTACATATTAAAAAAGAAAAAAGAGAATATGTGGTTTTAACTGCAACTGCTATGCTCCTTAATGGTTTCTTACTTTCTTTTCTAATTCTTACTAACTTTAACAATATTTCAGACAAACTCACACATTGAAACTTTATTCTAACAATTTAGTACATTTTATTACGACTTGTGACGCTCAGTCAAATGTTAACCTTATTTTTAGTTTCAATGAGGGCTAATAATCTTACGCTCACTAGATGTCGCTAGTTGGAACTGAGGTGATTTTACTTATCTCGGAATTGATCACACAGTGTCATCATTAAAAAGTTGCGTTAAAAATTAAAAGAGAAATCGGTTTCTAGTGTAGGTGTACTTATTATACTTATTAATATTTCAGATTAAAAACCTTAATGTCTGCACTTTTGAAATATATCATACCTTACATTTCACTTTTAGGTGGTGCGGCCCTGGTGGCAGAAAAGTCATGGATAGCCTTATTGCCATACATCTTACGTTTATTTCATGACGTCGAAGATATAAGAAAATAAGAAAAAAAATGCAATGCAAATTATAATTAATCAGTATTACGTTAGTCTATACTCGTTTGCTAGAAATGCATTCATGTTTTATTTGCTTTCACTAAAACCGTTTGAAGGTACCGAACAGAAAATAAAAACAAAAAACTATGATTTTTTGTTAAATAATATTTATTTTTATAAAAATACAATCTTTACAATTCTTTATTCATATTTATTGCTTAGAACAAATTTATACACCGATATACATTTATATAACCTAAAATAATCTTTTTACAATAATTGGTACAATTATGTGACCGATAGGGGGATATTTTTGGTTGCGATCAATGTTATAGAACATTCGGAAACTTTTAAATCGATCACAACCAAAATAAAAATGGAATAAACAATATAAAATATACATTTATTAATTAAAAAATAATTCGAAATATTTTGAAACTTTCTATATAAGCAGTTTAAAAATATAAACATAAATATCTGTTCAGGAGCTAATTCGAATTTATTTTCGAAACACCATTAACTGTGCACGTCTTGAGTGAAATAAAGATGTGACAGTTTACACAAGTCGTTGGAAGAACTAGCATTTTGTTACATTACGCCCATTGTATCAAAAACAACTCAAATATAATTTATTGCAAGAAAATTTAATAACTTTCTACATTATTGTCCAACCGTCTGATCCCCAATGCTTGCCCCGGATACGAGGTTGATCCAACCATAAATATGTCCTATATAAACGATGCAAAATAAAAAAAACTACTGAAAATTTAAATGGTGGATGTCAAATGTAACGAAATAAAACAGACTGATTTAAAGAGAACAGGAGGTTGGCGATTAGCGGTTAACATTACACACTTTTGATGTGGTGACGATTTAGCGAAAAATCCCCATCGATAGCCGAGCGAACATGGCTGTACCATCCAACGTATATGAGCCCCTCCGAGTGTTAAGCTCGTCACATACTAAATGCGGGATTCCGTGTCGGAATTCTGAAACGAAACGAACGGGTCGGCCACATACATACGGAATCCAGTTTTGCCCGTAAAATTTTGATCAGAAAACTACCGGAGGTGTGTGGCGGGTCATTAATTTTATATGGACTCGCTGCGTTCGATTCGATCCAGAATCGGAATTCCGAAACGGAATCTCGAAACGGAATTCCGGATGTACGTGGCGTGCCTTAGACGGTCGTCATCTAACAATAGTTCGTAAATTCATGTTATATTTACGCCTTTTGTTATAATAAAAGGAAGATGCTACGCAAAAAACGGAGCTAAATAAGTACAATTCTATTAAAATTGTTTTCACTTTTGTCAGTTATAATTAATTGCATTTCTCTTTGATTACATACATGTGTTCAAAGGCAATTAATTGTCTATCTTGGCTTAGTTCCTTCCGTATACACCACCATCAGAATTTTAAACTTCAATTATGATAGGGCTCAAACGAAAACAAAATCTGTTATAAATTATAGGTATATAACATTTCTTAATTATGATTTAAAACAGTATTATAAATTAATTACAAAATTTTAGACAATAATAATATTTATATATATTATATCTGATTATAGACTAAAAATAAGTAAATAAGAACAAATAAAACCTTTCCTTTGGATAATCATAGCCAAAATTCTAATTATATATTTAGTCAACTAAATATATAATAGTTGCCAATTCCGTTCACCAAATAGTATAACAAAACAACAACCAAATTATACCATTACCAACTTAATAACATAAGCAAGAACTACAATATTTCAAACACAAGTTTTACGTTATTTTAATATTGACTCGACCAAGAATTAACATGATCGTTATGTGAAAGAGTTAGAGACGAGAGCTATGATAAATTTTCATTTACATTAATGTGAAATTCAAGACATTGGGCTTGTTTATTAAAGTTTATTTTTGTACAAAAATGTGTATTTGGTAAGACATTTTTTTAATAGTTCTAAGTGTATGTTATCAGTAGAGTTTAGGTAATCTGTATCTTTAGTTGAGAGCCTTGGCGGGAACTTGACCGTTGACGGATTGTTGTTCTTGTTTTATCATTTAAATAATGGTTTCAAGTGGATTTCGATAAGTAAAAGTGATGCGATTTTGTGTATTAAGTGCCTGCACATGTGAACTACTAGAGAAAATGACTAAACAAGTGCTTCGATATTGATATAAATGTCAAGTTATTTTGATCGCTTAGGCACCTTATGAATTTGAGTGACTATCGTCATCGACTGTGAGCTGTCGTCAAAATCTCTCAAAAACTTCGTTACATACTATAATATAAAAACGAAGATCTCGAAGGAAATAAAGACATGGCTTAAAGGACGAGCATCCAAGCCAAAAATCTTAATAAAATATAAAAATTATCTTGAATTAAATGTAATTTTGCATAAAATAGTTTTTGTATCCATTTGTATCATAGGTATGTTTTAAAAACCTTGTCATATTTGCTTTTGTCAGTATATTTAACACTTTTTATATAACGATTTTGATATTTTAACTTGAATTTCGCATATGTGAAAGGGAGAAAAATACGGTATACATGATTTTGTAATTCGATTAAAATAATAGTTAAACTATTTAATTCGTTTGATAGTTTACCGTTTTAATACCTTCTTATTAATTTGACCTGAAATTTTACAATTACAGTTTTCATAAAATTGTGTGTTATTTTAAATTTTGTAAACATATGAATCGATCGCAATACAATAATTTCACGACTTTTGCTTACTCTTATGAATCTTGTGCTCACCAGATATCGTTAGTCCAATATGTTGTTAATTTTATCATTCTAATATTATTAATTTTGACATCAAGACAAAACCAACAATTTTGAAATGTTTTTAGAACTCGTAATTACATGAGTTTTAACACCGTCTATACTTTCGGACGGCATAGTTTACAGTGGACATTTTGTTTTTGTAATAATAGCCTTCTCTCGTCTGTATGGAGTACGTATCATCTAGTAGAGTTGTAGTCATGTAATGATAATTTAATAAGTAATAGCTTTTGTAATCTCCTTCTCTTGTCAGTATAGAGTCTGTATCATTTAGTAGAGTTGTAGCTTTTGTGTGCCTATCTGAAGATGACGTTAGAGTGTGTTTGTGTGTTAGAATGATCGCGTGGTGCGCGGCGGAAGGGATTCCAGGAAGGTGCTCGGCGCGGCGAGCGCGCCGTGTGCGTGGAGCCGCTGGATGCGCTCGACGCGCCCGACACCGAGCCCGCTTGCGAGCGCGTCACGCCCGTCCCCGCGCCCGCGCCCGCACCCCCGCCCACCCCGCAACCCTGCAGTTTAGGAGTAATATAGGTAGTGAAAAACTCATAGTCATGTGAAACATAAGGCCCGCATGCTGCATTCAGCTCGTGCACGTGGATGCAGTGGCGACCCGAGCGAAAATTTTAGGTGGTGCGAATTCCCATAGTGGCGCCCCTCTAAATACAAAACCTTACAACCTTTTTCGGTCTTATTACACCAGACAATGGAGGCGTAGGTGATAATCGGCCTCACTATGCTGCTGTACCTACAGCCATAGGATCATACTGGGATACAAGCCCCAGTTATTCCCAACCATACGACTGCACGTTGTTCGCACCATTATTGTACCCTTGACCTCGACAATCATTCATGTCTAAGTCAAACACTTGCACAATTGCATCAAGAAAGAGACCAGTAAGTAAGTTTTCCGAAGAATCACTTACTGGCTTGTAAGCTACAAAATACTCGTAATTTGACTTCCTAATTAGCGTCAACAAAACGTAATGTTAGTGATAAGAGTGAATTGGTCACCGGTGCCCGGTGGTGGCGTTTCGGTTGATTCCCCCCCCCCCACTCCCCCATGATGCATGGATGGATGCTAGACCGGAGAAGAACCACGATTCCAATGAATACCAGAGTGAAAGCAGCTAAATTCTACTGTTTCATTCCGTGAATGTAAAGAACAGTAGACTCTTTTTATTGGAAACAAGGCATTTCCATCTTAGATCTAAGGATGACAACGTATCTGCATTTTGTTTCTAATTTTAGGATAGATGTAGATGATTGTGGGTCACTGTATCCATTTAACACCAAGTGGACTATTTCTTCGCTTGTCACCCTTATTCTATAAAAAAGTACTTTAAACCTAATGAAAGACGGGGTGATGGAGTATACTGCAACGTAACATACCTTGACGCAACTTTTGTCCATCGGCGTTGCAAGACGCAGTGTGAGCGACTCTCCCGCTTCTTGTATGAGACTCACAACCTCTTCGTGTGAACTCCACTTTACGTCCTTATCTCCTATCGATATGATGAAGTCGCCTTCCCGCATCCCGCCAATCTGTAATGAAAACAAGCAGTGACATCTGATATTCTTGTGTTTATTGTTGTTACCACTGCCTCGTTGGTCGTAGGAACGACCAACGAGACCATTTATTGGGATTTTCTGTCTAGCCATTTTCAGGAGCACCTCGGAGTAAGCAAGTTGTTGGTGTTTCCACAGCATGCTTCGGAAAGCACGTAAAGTTTGTTCCTGCGCCTGATCTTTCTCTGGTCGTGTCGGATTACTGTCCCATCTGATAATGCGAGTAAAGGAATAGACAATGTACTTGGACTCGGGCACTATAATCCTATCCTGAGCAGATGGCTAGTCTTTGTTGAGGCTGACCACCGTGACCAAAATTAGGTCTGTGCATTATTTATATCCATCCTAAAAGTGTTCTCTAACATAAATGTGCACGCGCTGGATTTTTTTTAAATTGTAATACAAATAAGGAAGTTCACAACAAGTGGCTACTGCAGTTCATGAAACTCACATTAACAAAGTTAACGGATACGTTGTCACCCTTAAGGACTAAGTTAAAATGTCGCACGACCTGTAAAACATTATACCCTTCAGATCGGAACACCAAGTAGCAGTTTTTAATAATAATTTAATGCCTATTTTCGTATCTAATATTTGACCTATTTTATAAGTGGAATAGCGACATTTCTGTTGTAATATAACTGCAGCAAAATATGGGTCGGCTTGACCGTAGAAGGACCACACTCATTGCTGCTGTGTTTCTTATGGTGAGTGTACAGAATCGGATACCCTTGGTAACGAGTCATTCTACCTTCGTCCTCAGGTGTGACAACGCTTCAATTTGCTTCTTATTCGAGGACAGATATAGGCGTCTGTAGGCCACAGCATCCACACCCTATCAGGTGGACTGTGTACTCGTTTTTTACCCTTATTCTATAAAAAAGAATACCAGTATAAAATAGACGCATAATGTCGCTAATATATCATCAAATTAGCCATGTTAGCGAGTAGAAAATATAGTTCCGATATTTTTATATTTAAGTTAAACTATAGTGTTTATTTTTTCTTCCGACGTCAAAAATAGGAGGAGGTTCTCAATTTTACTCTATTTTTGACTTCTCGCTATGAAAATCAATGATTTTCAAAAAATGGGGAAGTATTGTTTTCATCACGGTTTTTGTAAATCGAGTTCTCATTACATCTCGACGTTTCGAGGCCCTAGGAATATTTTCTGGCTAGTTTTGCGATGATATACGTATGTGCGTGCGTGCGTGCGGCGTGCGTGCGTGCGTGCGTGCGTGCGTGCGTGCGTGCGTGCGTGCGTGCGTGCGTGCGTGCGCGTGTGCGTGCGCGTGTGCGTGTGCATGTGCGCGCGCGTGTGCGTGTGTGTGCGTGCGTGTGTGCGTGTGTGTGCGTGTGTGTGCGTGTGTGTGCCTGTGTGTGCGTGTGTGTGCGTGTGTGTGCGTGCGTGTGCGTGCGTGTGCGTGCGTGTGCGTGCGTGTGCGTTCGTGCGCGTGCGTGCGCGTGCGTGCGCGTGCGTGTGCGTGCGTGTGCGTGCGTGTGCGTGCGTGTGCGTGCGTGTGCGTGCGTGTGCGTGCGTGAGCGTGCGTGAGCGTGTGTGCGTGCGTGTGCGTGCGTGTGTTGCGTGCGTGTGTGTGCGCGTGCGTGTGTGCTGCGTGCGTGTGCGTGCGCGTGTGCGTGCGTGCGTGTGCGTGCGTGTGTGCGTGCGTGTGCGTGCGTGTGCGTGTGCGTGCGTGCGTGTGCGTGCGTGCGTGCGCGGCGCGTGCGCGCGTGCGTGCGTGCGTGCGTGCGTGTGTGTGTGTGTGTGTGTGTGTGTACGTATATAAAGACACGCAAACATCTCGTAACTTTGTAACGGAGTATCCGATCGAAAAGCCATTTGCGGCATCTAAAAGAGCCTCGCTGAACTTGGATTTTCTGTGAAATATACACCGAATCGTCACGATAAATTCTGAGAAAACCTAAAAAAAATTCGGGTTTATTTAATTTTTAAAAGCAGTTTGCTTGGAATTACTTCGACACCCCATATATATTTTGATCAATTCTATTATTATCAGCTGTTTTACTTAAAAAACGACGTCGATTGCTGTGAACCGCATCAAAATCAATTGATTCGTTCCAGAGATATCGTTGTCGAAAGTAACCTCGAAAAAGTGTTTCTTCAAAATATACTTGAAAACTTTCATTGAAGTAATTTTTTTTTGTAATAGGTTTTTTGTTAAGCTAAAAAAATTGCGTCGATTGCCGTAAATCACATCAAAGTCGGTTAATTTGTTCGTGAAATATTCAATAAAAAAACGTGGTTTTCCAAAATTATGACTTTGAGCTCAAAAACGTCATACTAAGTGGAATTTGGAGCGCTTTGATATTGAAGTTAGCGGATGTTCTAGGGATGGCTTGCAGGGTCAATCAATCAATCTTTTTTATGTTTGTTACTTAAGAACGTTTTTCTAGATGATTCTTTCTTTACTTGAAAGATGGTGCTTTTCTTGTGTTCAATTCGATCAAGATCTGACAAGTCGTTTTTGAGTAATCCTTAATAATGCTTATTTAATTAACTACTACTACATTTATGATGGGTGTTGTATTAAAATTTTAATTTTACCACTTATAATAAAACAATTTTTTATTAAAAACAAAGACTTACCTCAGCTAAAGAATTCGGTTCAACCGCAGCTATCACAACAGGCGCATCGCCTCTAACGGAGAACCCGAAACCTTCTTCCTCCTTACTATTGGAAACATTATATTCACTCGCCACCCTTCTCAATGGATCCTTCCTCTGTTCTCTGCTGTTCTTCATTTTGTTATAATTGTCTCTATTACTGATTCCGTTCTCCATTTTACCGTCGCGCTCTTCATATCTGTCGTAATCGATCACTTTTGGGTGATATTCATAATTGTTGTTATTGTAACTGTTGATATAGACGCCATTTTGTTTGGTCACTCTCTTGTCGCGTTCATCGATAGATTTATCATCTCCTCTGATCAGCTGATTGTAGTACGTGCTGTTGTCTTCGGATCTGTCGCGTTTGTCGCTCGGTCGTCTTCTGATCTTACTCTCATCGTCCTCTCTGCCGTTTCTCTTATCGCGTCGCGCTTCCCTTCTCTTTTCCGTGTTCTTTTGCAGTTGGATGAGACGTGGAGCGCTCCAGTGACGTTTCGCTGAGAACACCGCTATAGGACCAAGGGATTTGAAGAGGTCTTCGACGCGATGCTGCGCGAAATCCGGCGGCGTTAATGCCAGTTGGAACTTTGATGAAGCTGTAATTAATCAAATAATTAAAAAAAAAAAAACAAGTTAAAAAGATTAAAAATGCAGTGTTTTCATACAATTCTTTTTTCACAAGGGATACCACAAAGTACATCCCTGAGCCTCATGTATCTATCAACTTCCTGCATGTCTTATCAGGTCTTTGCTCTATCTTGTAGGGACTTGCCGTACACACTGTTTATCTGTACGAGGCTGCTACTTGAGAACCTTTTATCCCCTTGGTTGTCGTTTTTTCAAGTTAAACGGCCGGTAAATTGCCAGTTCAGCTTATTGATCCGTTGGGCTACGTCAGTTACTCTGATACTAATGTCGTTGATAAAAAATCGGACATACCCTCTCCATAGCTTGCTGAGTAACTTTGAGTTTCCTCATACGGCCAGCAGTGAAGGACTAGCTTTCAGATCCATATGTATATGTCATGTTTGCATTTTAGGCAAAAACTTTTGTGTATTTAAGTGAAAGTGAATGTGAACTGTTGTGTTCATATGATTTCTTAAATTTACGCGAACACTACACATTAAATAAACTATAATTTTATATATAAACTATTATTTTTAATTTATTAATTTTATCGTGTTTAATTACCACTTTAATTTATATTTACTATCCCGACGTTTCGGGTGCTTTACAGCACCCATGGTCACGGGAGGGGGGGGACTGAGATGTTTGACGTCCCAATGTCATAGTCCGGCTACCTTCAGTTTTTGAATATTAATTTTTGGTCCGATTTACGCAAAACGAGCTTATAGTATCATGAAGTCTTGCAGTGGTATGCTTGGGTTTGGGTTTAATTTTTTTACCATGGCAGCACCCATCCATCTTCTCTATTGAAATTTGGAAGTTTTTTAATTTCAATAGCCTCGCGTATCATCCTTGGTAGGAATCGGTGTTCTTTTGCGAGGATTTGTGGTTTATCAAATCTGATGTAATGGTGGGGACGATCGAAATCCGTAAATAATAGTTTTATTCAATGTTGTGTTCATGTATTTATCTAGAACGTGCACGTACGCAAGATGGCGGGCGCGTCGACGAGGTCCGCGAAGTCAGGTTCGTCGGCACGCAGGCCGCGCGCGCGCGCCGCCCGCTCCCGTTGCGTCTGCACCGCGCGGCACAGCGCCTCCTTGCCACGCAGCTCACTGTGTACAAATTGGACATAGGTAACTCAGCGAAGATTCTTGCATTAACACAGGCACAGTTTACTACGCCGGCTCATTGTGTTATTGTGTTGTGTCATTGTTGCTCCATGGCGCAACAAATTTTATCAGTCTATATAATTTTATCTTTTTTACGTGGTAGGAGCCACGCTGCAGCTATTATGGTTGTAGCGTGAATGGGTCGGCTCGACCGGGGTAGGACCACGTTCTCACAGAAAACCAGCGTAAAATAGCAGCTTAATGCTGCTGTGTTTCGTATGGTGAGTGTAGAGAACCGGATACCCGTTTTATTGGGATCGAGGCATTCCATCTTAGTCCTCAGGGATGACAACGCATCTACATTTTGATTCTTAATCGAATGTAGATGTGTATGGACCACAGCATTCACTTACCATCAGGTGGAATGTGTGCTCGTTTGTCACCCTTATCCTATTAAAAAAATCTATAGTGGTCAACTTAGCCATCTGTCAAAATAAAAGTCTAGTATTTTATTATTGAATTTTTTATATTAGAGGGAGCAAACTAGCATGCGGCTCACCTGATGGTAAGTGACTACCGCCACCCAAGAATAACTGCAAAAGAGTAGGCTCTTATCTTGAAGGTCCCTAAGTCGTATCGGTCTAGAAAAATCGCTGGTGCGAGGAAGAAAACTTCTTGTAAATCGCACAGTAGTGGACCGCCAATCTTCCAGTTGGTAAGGATGGTATCTCGAGTTCAATCGCGTAGTGCGACGGTGAAATTGATAACAATAAATACGATAGAATACGCAAAGAGAGGCTTCGCAGCGCTAATGACGCGACAGTAGCTTAATGGCAGGGCGCGGACCGCAAACTCATAAAGGTCGTGGGTTCGAATCCGCCATTTGACTACTGGCGTGAACCACTTGTAACACAAGCAATTTAAGCTTACCACGAGTGGTTAAGGGGAATATTAGTAATGTTTATATCATTGTTAATATTCTTTTTAAAAAAAAATTAATCAAACCGATCAGAAAGTGCTCGATCGCCGACGATTCGAACCGCTCTGCACTGGATGCAGTGAAATGGAAGGAGCTCCGATTAGCCAGAACTCTAGTGATCCAATTGCACAATTTCTCGGGAAGTTTCGGGAGAAGCGCTTTGTGCCAAACCCGATCGAAGGTTATTCGCTATGTCGAAACTAACTGCCAAAGCCTCCATCTTGGACTCGATTGCCTGCGCCCATCGGTGTGTTAGATATATAAGAAGATCAACAGCTAAGCGATCCCGACGGAAACCGTATTGGCACTCATTAATCAGCTGGTGCAGCTCAAGGTACCACATGAGCTGGCTGTTAATAATAGACTCCATTATTTGGGAGAACAAGGAAGTGATGGCGATAGGCCCGTGGTTGGACGGATTAGAGCGGTTACTTTTTTTAGAGATCGGGTGCACGAAAACTTTACCGTGTACCCTAAATTTATACAATTATTTTCTTCTCGCGTGTTGCTGCTACGTCCGATTGGCTCATTCAATGAAAGAGACTAATATTAAAACAGAGTAATTTGACAAAGCGAGATATCTGGCAACATTGTTCGCCACACGACTAGTGTTGCCCAAAATAGGTCTTAGTTTTGCAGTCTTGGTTTTGTTCTTGCATTTTTGCAAGACCAAGACCAAGAACAAGACCGCCTAATTTTAGCAAGACCAAGACCAAGACTGGCCGTGCAAGATTTGAGCAAGAACAAGACTAAGCCTGCGAGACTCTTGCGTCTTGCAGTTAGGAATGAGTGTCGTTTCAGGGAGTATAGGAGTTCGGGTATACGCTTAGGGACTCTATGAGACGCAAAAAATATATAAAAAAAATTGGAAAATTGGACTTATGCACATTACGAACAATACCATAAACATACATAGCGGATGAAAATATCCATTAAAAGAAAAAAACAGTGCATCCCTAGTTTGACCATCGGCACTTTGATAGTGCGCGGCGTCTTGTTGTCGGCATCATCAAAGATCGAATACTGACCTATCAAAGAAATTTTGCAGCAATTCGGAAGTACAAGGTCAAGATACACGCGCCGGAAGTGTGTGTTTTTGAACACAAAGTGTTCGAATATGTTGTCACCCATTTGATAAATATTGTAGACACTTTTAACACACTTGAAACGTGTAAACATTTTGTACAATGATAATCGAATAATATAAAAAGCGTTCTTGGGTAGCGATATACGCTTTTATAATAAGATTCCAAAAGCAATGTTAGATCTTTCACCTTTTCAATTTAAGTCAGACAAAAATGCTTGGAACTGACCTCTCGTACTACACAGGACTAACTAGAAATTTCTAAACCGATTTGGTATCTACATATACATTTGACATTTTATGTTTGACTTATCGCTTTACATAATTATAGAACTATTGTAAAAATATTTTGAAAAGAGCGACGACTGAGTTCCTTACTTTCTTCCATGATTCTTCTCAGTAGAATCAGAACCCCTGGACATGGAAAAGAAAAAATTGGGGAAAACAGTGATTATATGACTATTCAAAAGTGTATTTTTAATGCCTACTTGAATAAAACATATTTGAATTTTGAATTTCAAACGAGTGAAGGCAAATTATAATTTAATTAACGTAGATTAATTCAATCACAAGAAGAACATAATACGAGTATACACAATTTTATTTACATATTTACATTTCATTTTTACGTAGGCAAACTATACCTATCTGGCAACGCATCTACTTTATTAATCTTCTGAAGAATCATTAATTTTATCAAAGGATGCCGAACTTTCCTTTGTCGGTCTTTCGGCGTGTACTTACAAATAGTAGTATTTATTTTAATTCCAGTCATTCCCAATTGAGCTTTGCTTCGAGTCTAATATATTAATTGTTTTTACTCTTATCCTTGTTGTTCTCTGAGTGATAAGTTTACAATTTGACATGAGTGACGAAGAGTCGAATAGTTCTAGTCGGAGTAGTGAGAGTTGGAGTTATAGATCTAAAAGACCTAAAAGTAAATTTGATGAGTTTTTCGACATAATTCATGCATTCCAAATTGCTTTGTGTAAATTATGCCAACATAAAAAGGTTGACATAATGATTTCTTATATTTACGCGAACACTATACATGATTAAAACTACTTTTACGGATTTTATCGCGCCTTCAATAATTAAAAAGCTGAAGGTACTCCGTTTTAACTTTGACATCGGGACGTCAGTCACCTCAGTCCCCCGTGACCATGGGTGCTGGAAAGCACCCGAAACGTCGGGAATTAAAAATAAAAGTAAATAAAAAGTAAAAATAAACGCGATAAAATCCGTAAAAGTAGTTTTAATCATAAAAAGGTTGAAATAAAAATGAAAAACAGAAACACTTCAGGCTTAAGGAAGCATCTAATATCTTTCCACAAAAAGGAATCACAAATATTTCTTCCTGAAAAACCAAAATTAAGTGGAGATATCACAAGCCTTTTAATAACCACCGGAAAAAGTGGACAGGTAAGAAAAAATATACTTATCACACAATTACATAACACATATATTATGTAACTAGCGGCCGCCTGCGACTTCGTCCGCGTACGATATCTGATTTCCTATGAGATTTTGAAATTTTCTCGCTGCAAAAGTCTTACCTAAGTATAAAAAGGCAATATAGGTAAAGCTTAACTATGCAGGTATTTATTATTTAAAACTAATAAAGTAAATGTCGATCTTCATATCTATACTTTAAAAATATAGGACTTGCATGTAACCATTTTACGCCAATTTCACCCCCCTTAGGGTTAGGATTTCGTAAAACAGCTTATTCAGGATTTTATTATTGAAAACTATTAACTTTAATGCCGATTTTCGTGTCTCTAATTTCAAAAACGTAGGACTTTCATAGAAACTTCCAACTCCCATTTCACTCCCTTAGGGATAGATTTTCTCAAAACAGTTTCTTAACTGATCTCTATGCCATAAAAGGAACCTACCTTACAAACTTCAAGTTTGTATGTTTTATAGTTCCTGATATATCGTTATAGTCAGTCAGTGAGTGGTAGTTAATATATATATATATATATATATATATATATATATATATATATATATATATATATATATATGTATACATACATACATATATATTATAGTGTTAAATATGTATTTATAATTCACTCATATTTTCATTTGTTTTTATAATCGGCGAGACACATGATTTACTGTTTTATTTCAGTCTGAAAATAGCAGTGACAACATCACGACAGCTACTAAAAAACAAAATCAAAATATCACCCCTCATTTTCCGAACTACCATATTTTCGATCAATTTGCCCAAATATGGTGTTTCATAAAAGGTCCATACTTAGAAGGAAGTTCAAAGAACGGTTTGAAGAGCTTCAATTGAATCTTAAGAAACGACTACAACAATTTTCATCTAAAATGTCATTTACCAATGATGGATGGACGTCAATTGCTGGTAGTAGTTACTACGGGGTCACTATTCATTATATAGACAACGAATGGAAGTATCGATCTGTAGTACTTGATTTTATAACATCACGCGGTCGACATACTGGGGAAGATATTGCAACGATTTTCCACGAATGTTTATTGGAATATGACATAATTGATAAAATGCAGGGTATCACGGTCGACAACGCAACTGCAAATACCAAATTTATGTATGAATTGGACAAACAGCTGCCACACTTTGATTCAGACAATCAACATTTCCGGTGCTTTGCTCACATTTTGAACCTTGGTGTACAAGATTTATTAAAGACCTTAGCATTACACAGTGAAACTAACAATAAGGGACAAGAACAGTAGTATTAAGATAATGAAGACGAAACTGAGGAAGATGAAGAATATGCGCCAAATATTGCTGACTCACGTACAGCTATAACAAAATTACGCAGTATTTCCAGTAAAATAAAAAGAAGTGAGATATTGAAGAGGAAGTTTCAGTCTGCTTGTGAAGCAGCTGGCGTGCCATCAAATCTGAACCCCATACTCGACTGTCCAACGAGATGGAATTCCACACACGATATAATTGGATTTGGTTTAAAAGTGAGAACTTGTGTACTTCTGTCACCGAATTGAATGATTTTCAAATCACAGATAGTGAATGGCAAATACTCTAAAAAATACTTAAGTTTCTAATAAACTTTAAACTTCTATCAACGAAACTTGTTGTTGAGAAAAATATGTTACATTACCGCTAGTCATTGTATCATTCAATATCTTGCTCGATAAAATTGAATCCATGGTAAAACAATTAGATGAGAAACCTAATCGATCCGAAGTGGATGAAAGGCTCATTCTGGGTTTTCAAGCAGCTCGAGACAAAATGCTTAAACATTATAAAAAGAGCAACTGGATTTATTGTACCTCTTTAATTTTAGACCCAAGGCATAAGACTCAGACTTTTGACATGACATTATGGGGGAAGCAAATTAAAACAGAAAGCCTGCGCAAATTTAGTGAACTTTATAAAGAATATAAAAGTCTACACTCAGTGAATACATCTCTAGAATCACCAAGAAATGAAAAGAAAGTATGTGAATATGATGAAGATGAAGACGTAATAGACTTTGAAAATTTGTATTAATGTCCCTCGACGTCATCTGGATCTGGATCATCAAGGCTTAGTTATAGACGAGTTGGAGGAGTACCTAAGTAAACCCAGAGCCGCCAGTTCGGAAGACATTTTAGAGTGGTGGAGGACGCATGAGACAGAATATCTGACTTTATCGAAGATGGCCGTGATTTTCTTTCAATACCTGCAACTTCATTACCTGCTGAGAGATTATTTTCTAAAGCATCATTAGTAATTTGAAAACATAGAAATAGGTTAAGTGATGAGTCAGCCAAATGGTTATATTATATATTATATTTATTATTTTAATTATATTATATAATTATATTAATTAATATAAAGTAACAGTAATGTCAAAGCTGTTGTGTACTGTTATATAAATTAATTTGTATTATATTTTATTTTTTTATTTAAATAAATGGTAAATTGTATAACTCTTTTATTCCATTTCATATAAGGGTCTATCAAAATCTTTCTAGACAGATAATGTTCTTTATAATACAGTCAAGTTAATGTCATTAATTTGTTTTTTATATGTTTTGACTAAGTTTTAGCACATGTAAGCTTATTAAATGTAAACGTTTATTAAGAAACAGACTAACTCCCGTGGCCTTGAGACTTGGTAGACAGCTCAGTTGGTTAGAGCATCGGCACGGATCGCTTAGGTGGTGGGTTCAAACACCACCCGGTATTAGTTGATTTTTCGAATTTCTCATTAAATGTTTAGACATTTATTAATGTGGTTGGTCTTTCTATGGCTATGTTATTTCAAGCTCAAAATGTGCCTACTCTGTTAAGTTGTTCTAAGATCTAAAGAAACGTTTAATAAATAACAATAGGCTAATAGGTAATTGCGAGACTTGCGAGACTCTTGCTGCAAGACCAAGACCAAGAACAAGACTGAGAGCGCAATACCAAGACCAAGAACAAGACCAGGTGTATTGGCGCAAGACCAAGACCAAGACTGGCTAAGTCTCGTCTTGTTCTTGCATTTGGGCAACACTACACACAACCAGACCCAGATTCCAAGATTTGCACAAGATTGAGCCCGAGACTCCAGATTCGCGACATAGTCATTACCTACTTATTCTGCGTATATTCAAAAATTTTACAGACTTCTATGCAATGGCGTTTGGTTGTGGTATGTGGGGCCACGGGGTCGAAACCTGCTCGGGTCGAATGTTTCTATGGTTTTAAAAATAATTGTTCCTAGAACAATGAATGATTGTTTGTCCATAAGCAATTAATATATGTAAGACACATCTCAATAGAGGAGAAAATCATAATATGGAGATAAGTTTTATAGTGCCACACTGCAGCTATATTATGGTCGTAGCATCAATAGGTTGGCTTTATCAGGGAAGGACCACGCTCTCACAGAATAACAGCGTAAAATAACAGTTTAATGCTGCTATGTTACTTATGTTGGGTGTACAGAACCGGAGAGCCTTTTAACTGAAAACGTGACAATCTACCTTATTTTTAACTGAAAACGTGACAATCTACCTTATTTTTAACTGAAAACGTGACAATCTACCTTATTTTAACTGAAAACGTGACAATCTACCTTATTTATAACTGAAAACGTGACAATCTACCTTTTTGGGGGGGGGGGGGTGATAACGCGTACTACATTTAGAATCTTAATCGACAGACACAGACAGACGCAGATGTCTGGACCACAGCATCGACTTCCATTAGGTGCTCGTCTGACTGTGACTGTGTTTGAACTATGAGCTCGTTTGACACCTTTATTCTTTATTATTATAAAAAAACTTACCGGCACATTCTCTGCAATCTGAGGGCTTCTTCATATAGCGTGAGCGCTTCGGCGAGGTGCGCCCTGCCTAGCGCCAACGGCTCCAACTCTTGCTCTGTAGCGTTCGATCCTGATATACGTTACACTGTTGTAAAGTAACAATCCAAAAAAGTCCCACTGCTGGACACAGTCCTGCTTATTAGCCCACCGCTTAAACCAGTTGGCGAGCTTCAATTTTTAGGTAGTGAGTATTTTTCAAAAATGACATTCTTTTTTTCCATAAACCATTTCCTAGATGAAGAGCCGTGGTAGCTTAGATTCGCTGTAAATATAACAGCACGCGAGTAACCCGGGTTCGATACCCGCCGGTACCAATGAAATTGTTAATTGCAATTTTAAGAGCTGATTTACCACGTGCTCGGCGGTGAAGGAAAATATCGTGAGGAAACCTGCATGTCTGAGGAATAAGAAAAAAATATTTCGAAGACATGTGAAGTTCGCCGACACGCATTGGGGCAGCGCGGCGGACACTTCCCCTAAAGCCCTAAAACCCTCTCAAAAATGAGGGGAGGCCTGTGCCCAGCAGTGGGACGTGTATAGGCTGTAACTTTACTTTACTTTACCTAGATAACAATCAATTTTTTTACATGATAATATTGGGGAGTAGACTTTTTTCCACCTTTTCCTTCTCCGTTCGTTACGCGGAGGCCATGTGACAAGGAAAAAACGGGCACTCGGAAGCACCTTGGGCCAGCCCTCCACCATAAGCCAGCCATGTGGGTTCCCCTTACTTCATCATGAGTGACCAAGCCACGGCTATTAAGCCCCTCACGCCACGACAAGGCGGAAACCCGATGGGGGGGGGGGACAATTAATGATTACATTACAAGTTAAGACTAGGATTTTTCTGCCTAGGAATCTATCTGGGTAGGTACTACCTCACACCTATTTCTGCCGCCGAACATCAGTACGTGCACTGCAGTGTTCTGGTCTGAAGGATATAGAGAGGCAGTATGATTACAGGCTGTGACATTCCATCTTAGACTTCAGAGGTGATCACACATCTGTTACCTTCTTTATTTGAAGGTGACTGAAGGTGTTCATAGGCTGCAGTAGCTGCTCATCATCAGATAGACTATGAGTTCCACCGTCAATGTGTTTTATAAAAAAATGCACATATCAGTTGTGTTCTTGAAAAACCATTGTACAGGTACAGTACAGGCGTTTATTAGGGCCGTATTGTTCGTGTTTATAGCTGTAGAGCGGGCGGCACGCGCGCGCGCATGTGTGTGTGCGTGTTGGCGTGTGAAGTTGCTGACTGACCGTCGGGCGGCGGGGCATGCAGCGCGGCGAGGCGGTCGCGCGCACGCTGTCCACCGGCACTCTGTAGCAGCGCCGCGCCGCAGTATTGGTGCGCCAGCGCTGTACAAAACATTCTCTGATTTATTCAACTCACCTATTACACTTGTTAACTATATGCACAAGTAGTGCACTTGTTTACTGTATTGATATATATATATATATATTGCCATTTTTTAAACAAAGACTAATATAAACTACTAAACGAGTTCTGTGGTCTTAGTAAATTGTGCACTAAGTTACGCTCAATTTTCTATACGTCCTATAAGTCGATTACGAGCGGGCGAGTATACTAGCCATCGGACTATGGGAGTGAACGAATATAAATCACCTGTATTTGCGCACACACTAGTACACTATAATCTTGTTCTGCGCCGATGGCTATACAGGTTGGACAAAAAGTCGTGGTTCGAACGAAGTAGGGAGATCCAGGAGGTCATTTCCAACTTAAAATCTTTCTACAGCGTGGCCATAATTCAATTGCCCTAAAAGTTATGAATATTTTTTTCCCTTGAATAAAATACCGAGTTCTTTTACGATTAGACTAATTTAAAAAAGTGATATAAAACAATAAAACAAACGGTGTTATATTGTTACTAGATATGTATTAGCTAGATATGTATTAGCACTATAAAAGTTCCATTGCGGCTCTGGGTATCAAATTTAAAGAGCAACAAATTTGTTTGCAAATATTTTGAAGAATTACCAAAAATCACTTTAAAAGCGCACTGAAAAAAATACTACGGAAAAGTAACCCTGTATCAGAAAAACTTGTTGATTTAATGCCAATTCAAATGAAGTGTAGCCCATCACTCTTTGTTTCTTAATTCTGGTTTAATGATCGTTTTTTCATATCAAGAAGCAAATTTCAGTAGATTAGCTTAATCTAAAATAATTTTGAAGTTTATCATGCTGTTAGTTAAACTGCTAGTTTTTTTTGTATGTTGGAATGCTAGAACTATCTCCGTGCTTTTCACACTTAGCATTTGTGAAAAAGACAGAAACTCTTCACAAATTTTATATAAATCTTAATTTTGTCGAAAAAGACCAGAACGCCCGTCTTAGTTCAAGTAGCGATATCTTTTCTAAGAAACTCTTTCACACTTATCATTTAATCCCTTGTTGAATAACGCCAGAACACCCGTATTATTTCAGGTAGTAGAAATCCGGGCAGAGTGAGGCCGGGGAAAGAGCGTGCGTATCTACGTATCTTTAGTTTTTTAGTGATTCTCTTTCTGCTTGTGACTACCCACGTATTCTTTTGCTCCGTATTTTTTGTGATCTTAATTACCTGTGACCTACGCTTCGTTTTATGGACTTATGATAGATTGCTTACCTGTAACCTGCGCCGTGTGAATCGGACTTCGTAATCGCTACGGATTGGCTAGAAAATCGTATAGATAGCTGCTGCGAGGAGAAAATACACCCAAACGGAGTATGCAGAAATGCCTTTTTGGAGCAAATGAATTATGGCCATGTTGTAGAAAGATTTTTTGGTGGAATGACCCCTGTATCTCCCTATTTCGTTTGATCCACGACCTTTTGGCCATCCTGTATATATGCCGTAGTTGCTACGCTTGGCAAGGAGATTTACAATCGCACTTTTTAATTTATTCAGCAACACGCACACAGTCGAGCGCAAATTAAATTAAGAAAGTGTTGGAGGGTCACTCAAATATTTACAAAATACCCTGGCTAGTAAACGTAGCGTCATAGATGCTTTTAAAAAGTCGAAGTAATATCCTCTTCTTTTTAATTACCTTTGTAAAATTCAGTCTTGACGTGGACCAATGAAACCCACGAGTATGGCACGTAATTAAAAACACCCTCGGTCTGCATCTGAAATAAAATAAATTTTATTAATTTTCTGCTGTGCCGTAATATGGTGAAACATTTCGTTTCGCACTAATTTAATGTATCTTACAATAGAAGTGTCGTCGTTTTGTTGCGACGTAAACAACTACCCCATATTATCCCGTGAGTGTTGTAACAGTGAGATAGAAAAATTAAACAGGAAATAAATAGCAATATCTTACTGCTAAGAACTAATTCAAAAAAAACCATTTTCCTTCTGTACGGTAATCTATGAGACAGTGTTGAGTAGTGGACTTTTTATAGACTTTTAGAAATCATACAGTGGTAGAGATGCGTGTTTAGCAGCAATCGTGTTTCGCCCTTTTCGAGGACGTACCTTCTCGTAGAGTTGCGAGTACAAGTTGTCTTCTCTTGTACGAGATAGAGGCACACGCGCGGCGGTACGTACCTTCTCGTAGAGTTGCGTGTAGACGTGCGCGAGCTGCGCGCTCTCCTGCGCGAGGTCGAGGCACATGTCCAGGTCGGCGTGCAGCGCCTGCTCGCGCCCGCCGCACGCCTCCCGCGCCTGTAGCTGCAGCTTCTCGAACAGGCACTCTCGAGCTTGCGCCTGGAACATACATCACTTTTTAATTTAACATCAAACTGAACAGAAAGCAGTTTAATTGTTGTGTAAACGATGTGTAAGGTCAATGTGTGGTCTCAAAATAACAGATAGCTGTTTTCCTTATTTTAAATACTTAAAAATCCTAACACTGCCGTCATTGTATATACTGGAAACAGCTATTTTTGTAAAAAAAGCATCCATTTCTTTTCCAAAAAATATCTGATATTAGAAAGAATCCAATACGCACCCACTACAAAAATAGGTTATGTAACATAAAATGTAAAACATCATTAATGAAAAAAAGCTTTTTTGGTATTGCCCCACAAATTTATAATAAACTACCTGATTCAATAAAAAATATGACCTTATTTAAATTTAAAAAGGTGCTGAATGACTTATTAATAGACAAATGTTACTATAAAATTGACGAGTTCTTAAATGAAAATTTTGACTAGTTACTTTTTATTGATTATGACGTTCGTCGTTTTGTTATTGTAATCAATTTAATTTTATAAATGTAGAATTTTCATTAGTATTCCAATTTCAATTATTTCTTTTCTATTTTATTTTATGACATGATTTTTCAAAATAACTCAATTATATTTGTATGTCTTTAAGACAAAACATATATTGTATTTGCACACCTCATAAGGTAATAAAACAGTGTACATATTATAACTTTTCTGTAACACCTTTTATACCTGTGTTATGCAAATAAATGAATTTGAATTTGAATTTGAATTTGAATTTGAATTGTTATTAGTAAAGTTATTGAGTATTTCTGTCATGAAATTTTCAGTAGCAGTCCATAGTTAGAAAGTTGGCGGTGTTTCGCTCCGTGTTTCGAAAAACACGTTATGCCGTTGTTACTGTGCATGGGCGTGTTGGATTACTATAACATCGAGCTATGAGAGTGACAGAATAGAGAGCACACCTGTGCTTGCGCACACTTATGCAATTTACTCCTGTCCTGTGTGATGATGGTTCGTCTCCGTTGGCACTGGCCACCGTGATCAAAATCGTTCTGGAGGAGATTATTATTTATGGCTGCAATATGAATAGGTCGGCTTGACTGATGAAGGATCACTCTCGAACAGAATACCAACGCGAAATAGTAGCACAATGTTGCTGTGTTGAGTATGGGTGGGTTACGAGGTAATCCATCTTAGTCCTCAGGTGTTATCGTGTATCTGTATTTAGTTTCTCAATCGCAGATATTTTATTATTTTATTTTATAGAATGAGGGTAACAAACGAGCATACAGTTCACCTGATTGTAAATGGATGCTGTGGTCTATTTTCATCGACATTTATTATCAATTAAAAATAAGATACTGATGAGTAATTACTTATAACCTCTGAGGACTGAGATGGAACGCCTCGTTTCAAGTAAAATGTTTCTAAGGTATTCTACGCACACCATACGAAACGCAGCAATATTAAACTATTTAACGCTGTCCGTAAGAACGTGATCCTACCCTGGTTGTGCCATTCGTGCTACAACTATAGCTACAGCGTGCCTCTATACAATTCTCTGTGTCCCTTTCAGATCGGACACGGCTTTCTTTACTCATTGTGTACGCTGTAACTTTGATTATAAATATGAAAAAGGAATATAAGGGAACCGACCGTCATGAGGAGTCCGAGAACGAGCAGCGTGTCGGCGGCCAGGTCGACAGAAGGCGCGTTGGTGAAGTTCTCGTGGATGTAGCGCAGCGTGCCCGCCGCCCGCAGCAGCGCGTCCACCGCGCCGTCCAGCCCCGCGCACGTCTTACGCTCCTGGACATAGAGTACACAATGCAATGGCAACACACCTTCGCGGCAGTCTTATACTATCGCAAATACAATATGCAAGCTGAACAATTATAAGAAATTGTTAAAATAATAGGTCGGGGAAAAAGTTTATTCGTATTTTGTATAAAATCGAAGAAAAATCTTTTTGGTTGTACTGTTTGTATCTGGCTGGTTTTAATATCCAATACATAAAGGATATTAAGATGAACAAAAATAAAATGTAAAAAACACTTTCGCGCCATTTTTCAATTGATTTTCTTTCCGCCAAAATGAGTGAATTTAATGAAGAAATTCGATATATTCCGAAGTTTTATTATAAAAAAGGCAAACAAATTTGTTACGTGTATGTACCTTGAAGTGTCATTAAGAGTCAAAGTTGGTTCAAGCGTTTTCAGTCCGAGAATTTGGATGTCTAAGATGCTCTGGTCGCCCACATACAGGGCAAGATCGGCATATTAGTAGTTACAATATAGCTAAGGAATTGGGGATTGAAACACAACACAATTTTGACCCATTGACCTTGCACCGTCAAATTTCACCTTGGTCTTGTCAGTTTTTGGGTAATGTTAGATTAACATCAAGAGAGGAATGTCAAAACTACTCGTCGCATATTTTAATCAAAAATCCCAAGATGTTTACAACAACGGGATTATGTCACTACCTACAAGACGGCAACAAGTCATCGAACAAAATGACACATATATCACTATAGTACAAGTATTAGTGTTTTTAAATCTTTAGATATAATATTAAATATTTAAAAAAATACAATTATGGATAATGTAAACGAGAGCACTTTCTGCTAACAATTTGTTTAACACTGTTTGGTAGAGTAATAAAATGAATAAATTAAATAAAAGTAAGTCTTATTCCTTGAAACTTAGGGTATAAAATGCTGTAGCAAACTAGTTCCTGGCCTTCGTGATTAAGATTGTGGCACAGTATTTAAAAGTTATAGTGGATTTTTGTTATTGTTGTTATCGAGAGGAAGGGCTAGTAATTATATTTAGAGTAATTATATTATATTATTATACTAGGCATGCTGCAGGTACCTGTTTAGCGCCAATTTGCGTGTATATGCCGGCCATATTGAACAGCACGCATGCTTTCTCGAAAGCTACCGTTCGTTGACAGGATGGAACCCCTGGAATTTTATAGTTACGTGAAGTTTCCGGGAAAAACAGAAAAACAGACTTTAGTAAGTCCTATTGGACGACACGCACGGTCAGTTCAACTGATCAGTTCAAACTAGGACTGTTGATATTTTTTTAAATATCGGATTTTCGATATATTGATAAGCAAACTTATATATATAACTTCGATATTGATATTTATAATTATCGATATATCGAAAATAAGATATTTGAAAAAAATATCAACAGTCCTAGTTTGAACTGACCAGTTGGAATGATCAGTTGAACTGACCGTGTGTGTCTTCCAACATAGTCACCCATATTTTTGTAATAAAATGTCTTATAAAGGGTCAACAGATGTAAAATTTAAAAATACTGACAAATAACCTTTTTACCTTTGAAAAGTCTTGATATTTTTTTACAATGAATTCTATTTCGTTCATACGTCACATTGACTTTGTTACGCACCAGTTAAAGAATCGAACCACTCGAAGTAGACGCCCAGCGACCGATCAGGCGGGAAGAAACGGCGCTCGATGAAGTAAAGCTGGTTGTAGTACTTAAATAGTAAAGCCACGCCTACGGTCGACCGGACTGGTGTTCTTATTGCCTGGAATAATAATAATAATTCAGTAAATATGTAGTTTGGTTGTCGTTGCGCACACTACAATAATATAACAGTCCTTGCTGGGCTTGACCAAAGGTGCTTTTTGTATAAGATATGGGTGATAACGAGCGCACAAACCACCTAATGGTAAGTGGATGCTGTGGCGTATAGACATCTACAGTAAACAATACCCGTAAAAAGGGTCTCCGGATCTCTGCACTTACCATACGAAACACAGCAGTATTAAGCTGCTATTTTACGATGGTTTCTGTGTGAGCGTGGTCCTTCCCCGGTCAAGCCGACCCATTCGTGCTACAACCATACTATGTAGCTGCAGCGTGGCTCTGCCACGTATTATAGTCAAATTCACGCTTGTATGTGGTGTTTGCGCCCTCCTTCCACCCAAGGAGGATCGCGTCCGTTTACGGCTTCAAAATCCCTCGTTAGATCGTTAAGCCAGTCCCTAAAAGGTGTGGTTTAGTGGGTAAAAGTCTCCATACAACCACACAGTCGGCTTCGTGGTATGCTATGAGCATTTACCACCTCCCTCCCCCGATACCGGAGGGTTGCCCTTATTTGCTTCGGGTGCAAAAAAATGTGGTGTTATAACACGGAGATTTTTTTTATTAATCTTACCCCTACAATAAGTATTTCTCTACTATCGTGGAGTTTATATACATAAATCTTACGAGGTAATACATCCAGACCCGGAATAATTATTTGTAATCTATACAAATATTTGATCCGTGCGGGATTCGAGCCCGCGGCCCTCAGCGCAGTAGTTCATTGCTAAGCAACTGCACCACAAAGCCGTCTTTTTTAATCTGTTCGCTCCCCGGGCATCCTGCCCAAAAAGAGATTTTCCCTTTTCTTTTCTCTTTTAATTTAGGCAGCGTAAGAAAATCTATAGCCCTCATTTCATTCGTGGATTGAATGTTGGAAATTCTAGGAATATCTCACGGTTAACGGGAAGAAAGGTTCTCGAGTGGCAGCCTCGTACCGGTAGGCGTAGTGTAGGGCGACCCCCCATTAGATGGAGTGACGACCTGGTAAGATATGCAGGAAGTCGATAGATGCAGGTGGCTCAGGACCGTGCTTTGTGGCATTACTTGGGGGAGGCCTATGTTCAGCAGTGGACTTGTGAAGGGCTGTGATGATGATGATGATGATGATCTCACGGTTTTCAAAACCGTCAACAATCTTGTTACATATACATACACGATGCAGCTAAAATCTGTAGCACAAGGTCTATCACCCTTCCCTCGTCCTCTCCACATCTCGAGTGAGTGACATTGAGCTTCCTCAGACGGCCAGCAGTGAAGGACCACGTCTCAGATCCATGTCATCATTGTCAACACAGACATCAGTGTCAACCAGTGGGTTGTACACTCGTGTTTTAAGTTTGAGGTATAAATGGGTGCGTTTGGCAGAAAAAAGCGCTAGCATGCGCTTGTAAGCAAAATGGCGATCGTAAGCGGTAAGCGCTGTCAAATCGTAAGTAGCTACTTTCCTCTAGGACACGAAGTTAGTTTTAACCGGGGAACCTAACCTAATTTAAATATATGTTTGTAAAGTATTCATATTAAAAACTTACCAATCATGAATTTTTAATAACATGTATAGGTTTATTCATGTCAATTACTTAAAACTAATATTGCACAAAACAACTTATAAACTCTACTTAAAAACAAACAAATTAAATAAGCAAAATGGCAGATTGTGTCAGTGCTACTGAAGTTAGCAAACGTGTTCTGGCCGAAATCTGTTTAGTTTCGCCATTTTGCTTACAAGCGCTTGCTAGCGCTTTTTTCTGCCAAACGCACCCAATTACTAAATGTGTTTAAATCTCCCGAAGGTTACACAGGGGAGTTGGATCCGTCGAGTGTATTCTCTTTTTGAAACTGAAATCGATTCACAACTTGTGGTTTCCAACAGTGGTAGAGCCACGCGGCAGCTTTGCTGTTGCACGTGTGGGCCGGCTCAAACCGGGGTGGTACCACGACCTCACAGAATACCGGCGTGAAGTGGAAGCTCTGCTTCCGCGTTTCATCTGGTGAGTGCAGGTGGCCGGTGGCCCAAATCCCCCCCCCCGTCAACATGGTAGCGGAATTAAATAATGATAGACTGCCCCAGGAGGGTACCAGCACCCCTGGAGAATCTTTCGCGGAGCATCCACGACCATGTTTCTCCACTTCTGAGCGTGGGTGCTCAGGCTGCCCCGCGTATTCTGGGGGGGGGGGGCAAAATTCCGCTCAAGACGGGGGCAAAGAGAAAAACAAGGACCCCTCACCTTCAATTTCTGCAATATCAGGGGACTTCACTCTAACCTAAACGCCATCCACTACCATCTCGAGACGGCGAGGCCGGCTCTGCTCTTTCTGACCGAGACGCAGGTGTCCTCTCCGGCTGGTGTCTCGTATCTCTCCTACCCGGGGTACAAACTGGAACACTCATTTGTGCCTCGGGCTGGAGTTTGCGTTTACGTCAGAGAGGACATCTGTTCTCGACGCCTCGGCAGACTTGAAGGTTCGGACCTGTCCATCCTGTGGCTACGCGTAGACAGCAACGACCATCCGCGCGTCTACGGGTGCCTCTATAGGTCCCATACGGTAATGCCGAAACAGACCGACTCTTCGACCACGTCCAAATGGCTACAGATTCGTTGCTACAGCAGATCCCCTCCGCAGAGATCGTGATCCTCGGCGACTTTAACGCCCATCACGCCGAATGGCTTGGTTCACGTTTAACCGATCATGCGGGGAGATCTGTTCATGATTTTGCCTTGGCATATGGTCTGACACAACTGGTTACTTCGCCTACGCGGATTCCAGAGGTGGAGGATCATGCACCTTCCCTGTTGGACCTTCTGCTGACCTCTCACCCGGACGGATATCAGATTTTCGTCGAAGCCCCTTTAGGCTCCTCGAACCATTGTCTTGTCCGGAGTGAGGTGCCACTCACGCTGAAATCGCAGTCGCATTCTGCAGGCTGCCGCCGTGTTTGGCACTATAGGTCAGCCGATTGGGATGGGATGCGGCCTTTCTTTGCATCCTACCCTTGGGGGCGGGTTTGCTTCTCGCCGGACGATCCCAACGTTGTTGCGGATTCTGTCGCTGATGTGGTACTTCAGGGTATGGAACTTTTTATTCCTTCCTCTGAGGTGCCCATTGGAGGCAAATCTCAGCCATGGTTTGGTCGCTCCTGTAAAATAGCATCATGCTATAAGCAGGAGTGCTACCGAGCCTGGGCTAACGCATCAGCGTCCCGGGATGTAAACACCAGCGCTATAAAAAAGAAGTATAATTCCGCCTCTAGGTCCTTCAAAAGAGTCATTGCTAAGGCAAAGTCAGAGCACATAGGCAGAATTGGCGAGAAACTAGTCCGCCTTCCTTCTGGAACTCGTGCATTCTGGTCTCTCGCCAAGGCTGTCCAGGGGAATTTCTGTCAGCCATCTCTTCCATCTCTGCACAGGGAGGACGACTCACTGGCCTATACCGCAAAGGAGAAAGCCGATCTTCTGGGCTCTTTCTTTGCATCCAACTCGACTCTCGATGACGGGGGGAGTACGACGCCGACCATCCCGCGGTGTGTGTGCTCCATGCCGGAAGTGCAGTTCACACAGCAATCGGTTCGCAAAGCACTCCTCTACCTGGACATCCACAATTCGAGTGGGCCTGACGGAATCCCCCCAATTGTGCTGAGGACATGTGCTCCAGAGTTGGCACCGGTTTTAACGCGTCTTTTCCGGTGCTCCTACTCCCTAGTCCCAAAATCATGGAAGACGGCTTTCGTCCACCCGATCCCTAAAAAAGGCGACCGCTCAGACCCGTCCAACTACCGGCCTATCGCCATCACCTCCTTGTTCTCCAAAACAATGGAGTCCATTGTAAACTGCCAGCTCATGAGGTACCTTGAGGTACCAGCTGATTAGTGACCGCCAATACGGTTTTCGCCGTGGTCGGTCAGCTGGTGATCTTCTGGTCTACCTAACTCACAGATGGGCGGAGGCAGTAGAGTCCAAGGGAGAGGGCATTGGCCGTTAGTTTGGACATTGCGAAGGCCTTCGATCGGGTTTGGCACAAAGCGCTTCTTTCGAAGCTCCCTTCCTATGGGCTTCCCGAGAAATTGTGCGATTGGATCACCAGCTTTCTTGCAGATTGGAGCATCAAGGTCGTTGTAGACGGTGCAAGCAAAGATTGCAAGCCTATTAATGCTAGTGTTCCACAAGGCTGCGTCCTATCGCCAACGCTGTTTCTTCTGCATATATCAATGATATGTTGCAAATCCGTAACATTCATTGCTATGCAGATGACAGCACTGGTGATGCTCTTTACACCGGCCGAGCCAATATTTCTCGGGAAAACGTCTCCGAGTGCCGGGACAAACTTGTGTCTGAAGTCGAGTCCTTGCTGAACAGAGTCTCGGATTGGGGGCGACTAAAAATAGTCCAATTTAACCCCCAGAAGACACAAGTTTGCGCGTTAACCGCTAAAAAGAACCCCTTTGTCGTATCTCCTCAGTTTCAAGGCACTCCCCTTGTTGCCTCAGCCAGTATCGGAATCCTCGGCGTTGACATATCGAGTGACGTGCAGTTTCGTGGTCACTTGGAAGAGAGGGCCAGATTGGCCTCTAAAAAGCTTGGCGTGCTCAGCAGAGCGGGACTGTATTTCATGCCGGCACACCGCCTGTAACTTTACAAGGCGCAGGTTCGGCCGCACATAGAATACTATTCCCATCTCTGGGCTGGGGCTCCCCAGTGCTGGCTCCTTCCACTTGAGCGCAGAGCGGCTCGAATCGTCGACGACCGAGTGCTTTCCGATCGGCTCGATTCACTGGCACTGCGAAGAGATGTTGCATCTCTTTGCATTTTATTTCGCATATACCATGGAGAGTGCTCTGCGGAATTGTTCGGATTAATCCCAGTCGCCAAATTTTGTGAACGCACTACGCGGCAAACGTCCCGATACCATCCACACTCTGGATGCTTGGCGGTCCACCACAGTACGTTTCAAAAGGAGTTTTCTTCCGCGTACAACCTATCTGTGGAATAGTTTACCACCGGCGATTTTTCCGGACCGATACGACCTGGGGACCTTCAAGAAAAGAGCTTACTCCTTTCTAAAGAGCTGGCAACGCACCTGCAATTCCCCTGGTGTTGCGGTTGATCATGGGCGGCGGTAGTCACTTAACATCAGGTGCGCCGCATGCTCGTTTGCCCCCTCTTCTATAAAAAAAAAACTTGAAAGTATAAAAAAGCCCACCTGTCTCATGTCCATAAAATCAGAGATGGCGTCCTCATATGCCGTCGCGTCTTCGCTGTAATGCTCCAGGATGAAGTCCTTGAACGGTTCCCTGAAGTCGATTTCTTTCGTCTCTTTCAGTCCCAGCGGTATCATCGGCATCACACATTCTTTGCTGCAAAGGAAATACAAACAGTTCGTTAATTAAAATACACTTTAAAAAACTATTTCATCCTGATTTCTTATATTTACGCGAACACAACACATTGATTAAAACTACTTTTACGGATTTTATCGCGTTTAACTTTAATTGATTCTTAATTGCTGACGTTTCGGGTGCTTTCCAGCACCCATGGTCACGGGGGACTGAGCTTTTTAATTATTGTTTATGGTTTAAAAAGTTGAAGGTACTCAGGGTTAACATTGACATCGGGACGTCAGTCACCTCAGTCCCCCGCATGAAGGTCAGAAATAGGAGAACGATCGCCGTAGAAAATAGTGTCCAGAAATATGGACACTACAAGTGAGGCGCTGCGATCGCTCGAGGTTCGGTCAATAAAAGTTATTTTGAGTCTATTTTTCCGATCAGATGATAAACCACTTGCACATCCACGCACAATAAAATATTTCTACATGGATATCTATACACCGCCACTACACGTAATTTAAAAAAAATGTCGGAAATTGGTCGGTATCCAATTAAAAATGCTCAAAATAGGAGACGATAAGTAATTACAAAGGCGCGTGACGATTTTTTTATTGAATAAAGGTAACAAACGAGCACACAGTCCACCTGGTTGTAAGTGGATACTACGGCCCATAATCTACTACATTTACCCTCGATTGAGAATCAAAATGCACATGCGTTGTCTCCCTGAGGACTAAGTTGGAATACCTCGTATCAAGTAAAAGGCTATTAAATTTTCACTACATTCACCGTTTGAAACACAGCAGCATTAAGCTGCTATTTTAGGTTTTTATCTTGTGAGAGTGATGTCTTTCACCTGACGAGCCGATCTCGGGTGTCCCAAAAATATCACGTCAGAGTGACATGGAAGATAGGTTAGCCTTAGGTCTTGATAAAAAAATGACCTTAATAAAAGTATTTTAGTTTTTGAGATATCGTCAATTGTTTTATTTTCTCAAAAATTTCTACTTTAAGTTAGTGTTTCTACCGTTGTCGTTAGAAATACCTTGAAAATATTTGGTTTTTATATTTTTTTATTTTTCGAACAGTTGTTCCATGCGTTGAAAGTAAATTTTTCCCAAAATCTAGTGTATTTTTTAATAAAATAAAATGATTTGTGTTACTTTTTTACCTTTGAAAAAATTGAACTCCAACTTTGATGACCTACCGTGAAAAAAAATGTACTGACGTAAACTGGCAAATATTTTGAAAAACTGCTCCAATTACTGCAAATTCAGATAAGGTATAACACCTACCGTGCCGACGATATAGTCCTTATGGCAGAATCGCTGGAGGACTTAAGCACTATGCTCAATGACCTGAATAGTGCCTCCCAACGGATAGGTCTTAAGATGAACATGGACAAAACAAAGATCATGTTTAATGTCCATGTCACACCTATGCCGGTAGTTATTGGGAGCACTATGCTCGAAGTTGTTGACGAGTACGTTTACCTGGGACAAATAGTCCGACTAGGTAAGTCCAACTTCGACCGAGAGGTCAATCGACGGATTCAACTCGGCTGGGCAGCGTTCGGGAAATTACGACACATCTTATCGTCAGGTATACCTCAATCTCTGAAAACTAAAGTGTACAACCAGTGCGTGTTGCCAGTGATGACTTACGGATCAGAGACGTGGTCCTTCACTGCTGGCCGTATGAGGACGCTCAAGGTCGCTCAGCGAGCTATGGAGAGGGCTATGCTCGGAGTTTCTCTGCGTGATGGACTCAGAAATGAGGATATCCGCATTAAAACCAGAGTAACCGACATAGCCCAACGGATTAGTAAGCTGAAGTAGCAATGGGCCGGCCATATAGTTCGAAGAACCGATAACCGATGGGGAAGAAAGGTTCTCGGGTGGCAGCCTCGTACCGGTAGGCGTAGTGTAGGGCGACCCCCCACTAGATGGAGTGACGACCTGGTAAGATGCAGGAAGTCGATGGATGCAGGTGGTTCAGGACCGTGCTTTGTGGCATTACTTGGGGGAGGCCTATGTTCAGCAGTGGACTTGTGAAGGGCTGTGATGATGATGATGATGATGATAACACTTATATCAACTATTTAAAAAAAAATGTCAAAATTACCATTTTTATTATTAAGGGTAGCGCTCTCAGCGGTAAGCTGTACTTTGTTATTGAATAAACGAATTCTTTTTTCAAAAGCAATGAAAAGGAATGTTGTTTAGTTATTGTGTTTAGCATCCCATCAAACAGTTCTCCGGTCATAAACTGAGCGAGATAGCGAGATAGAGGGAGAACAGTGCTATTTCAGTCTCGATAGTCAGTAATCTCGCACAGGAGCTTCGGACTTCGGTGGTTGATTTTGTTTTTAGGACGTTATTTTCAGTTTTTTCTTGTGATACTCGTGCGGTTTTGTGCTCCTTTCGTTATTTTTAATATTTTTGACTACTCGGCGTTTATTAACTGGACTTTGATTTTCTTACTACTCGGACTGTTGTTGATCTGATTGATTTTGTTGTGAAAGTACTAATAATGGAAAATCCACGAAGAGGCGCTGTTAGTCGCTTTACACATCGTGAGTACGCTGACATGTACTTGATTTACGGCGAAACCAGGAAAGTTTCTACTCGAGGCATAGTCTCATTAAACGCAAGGTTGGCTGCAAGATTATACGCGGAACGGTATCCAGACCGTAGACATCCGACGTATGAGGTGATTGAACGATTGGATTCTGCCTATAGGGAGGCTAGAATATCTCGAACTCGAGGTTCTCAATCTGGGAGACCGCGAACAATCGAGGACGACGTTGTGCTACAGGAACGCGAAGAGGATCCATCGACTTCGGTTCGTATGATACAAAGCCGCACTGGAATACCAAAATCATCGGTTCATTGTATTTAAAAAAAAAGGTATGAATTTCACCCATACCACATTTAAAGAGTGCAAACTCTCCTTGAGGGTGATTATGTAAAACGAGTTCTGTTTTGCCGACGAATACTGGAACTAAATAGGTAAGATCCCGACTTTTTTCATAAAGTTTTGTGGATTGATGAGTCTCAGTGCAGAAGGGACGGATACCTTAACCTGCACAATATTCATAGTTGGCAGTTAGAGAACCCGCGTGAAACCAGTCTTCTCTGGTTTCATGCGGGTTCTCTCGTTCACAATACATGTTTAAAATCAATTTATGGACGGGAATCTTCAATGGTTCAATATTAGGACCAGTAAAACTACCTCCTACATTAAATGGTGAAAACTATTTGGCATTTCTTCAACACCGATTGCCAACGCTCCTAGAGGATGTGCCACTACAAACACGGGCAACGATATGGTACCAAAACGACGGTTGCCCAGCACATTCCGCTCGAAACGTTCGAGCCTATACTGACGACAGGTTCCCAAGAAGGTGGATTGGGCGATTGGGGCCAATCTTATAGCCCCCGAGATCCCCTGACTTAAATCCTTTGGTTTTTTTTATTGGGGTTGTCTCAAGGATAAAGTGTACCTAAAACCAATTCACAACGAAAGGGAACTCCGTAACCGAATAAACATAGCGGCTCAAGAGATATCGCAAATAGGTTTAAGAAGATTAAAAAATAATTTTATAAGAAGATGTAGATTATGTATTCGAACTAGAGGGAAACAATTCGAGCATCTGCTTTAATAAATACGTTAATTAAAAATTCCATTTTTTTTTTGGCAATAACTAAGCCAATAAGTTCGGCTTTAGCGCTACCCTTAATGATAAAAATGGTAATTGCGACATTTTTTTAAACATTTAATGTAAGTGTTATACCTTTTCTGAATCTGCAGTAATTGGAGCAGTTTTGCAAATTATTTGCCAGTTGACGTCAGTAAATTTTTTTTCACGATAGGTCATCAAAGTTGGAGTTCAATTTTTCAAAAGTAAAAAAGTAATACAAATCATTTTTTTTATTAAAAAATACATTAGATTTTGGGACAAATTTATTTTCACCGCATGGAACAACTGTTCGAAAAATAAAAAAATATAAAAATCAACAACTTTCGAGGTATTTCTAACAACAACGGTAGGAACACTAACTTAAAGTAGAGATTTTTGAGAAAATAAAACAATTGACGATATCTCAAAAACTAAAATACTTTTACTAAGGTCATTTTTCTTTATCTGCAAGACCTAAGGCTGACCTATCTTCCATGTCACTCTGACGTGATATTTTTGGCACACCTGTATATTGAAATAATTGTGATTTTCACGCTGCCGACATTCGTTTCGTATGTTTTTTTTTGTTATCAAAATACAATAAAATCTTTTTGTAATGAAGTAAAACCTGACTTTTGTTTAAACCACAAGATAGAGAATTTTGTATAGATTTTATAATGCTAAACTTCTTCATAGAAAAGTAGTCTCTAATTATAAGTTTTAATGGTTTTAAGTGCTGTGGGTGGGTGCGGTCGTATTCGACTGCATGGGATTTTTATGGCGCTTGAAGGGTTAAACGGATAGCACACGCTGCGCCACGCCTTCCCGCGCCGCGAAGCGCCAAGAAGCCTTTTATACTGCGCGTGGCGCGTGCGGGCGCAGCGTGGCGTGTGATATTACACGCAGAGAAAAGCCACCATTAGACTGCCTAAAATGATCAAACAATATAATAGTACTAATAAAATTATTTCTTTGCTTAGGTAAACGTTTTTTTCAAAAGAGTTTAAATAAGTGTTATGTACTACAACTGTAAGTAGTGATCAGAAAGAATGCGCATATAATGGCTCTTCTTATGAAAGTTGAATCTCACATTAATTATTGGAACCAGTTACTTCAATTTAAAATTAGATATCAGCTTATTTGTGTATTATGTAAATAATATATCATTTGTGAATTCCTCAAATCTTTTGACTCGCATGAAAGTAAAATTTTATGTGAGTATATTTATGTATTATGTAAATAATATGTCATTTGTGAATTCCTCAAATCTTTTGACTCGCATGAAAGTAAAATTTTATGTGAGTATATTTATGTATTATGTAAATAATATGTCATTTGTGAATTC